AGGAAGTTTGAAACCTCACCACCAGGGGCAAAATGGCGCTGTATGCAATATTGTTAAACGAAATATGGGTTGGAATCTAATTTAACCTTTCGTTACACGGGTTTAATATGTTGTATACCCTTAAGAAACTTTGAAGTAAGCAAATTATTATTTAAAGGCGTTAAATTCGATAAAAGTCGAGTGCGCCATCCGTGTAAGTGAGAAATTCGTCCGTGAAAACCACGAATTAGCGATTAGAAAATGTGAGATCGCAAATCACTCGCACAAGTGCGTACAATCTGGAAATCGTTTTCTTACAGATCGCTAATTTGTAATTTTTGAAGCCTGAATTCGGCCCTAAAACATGAAGATACTGATTCAAAAAGCTTTTAATCGATTTGGGCCAAAGAAATCCCTCATGTTATCTATCTAGTTCATTTTTCCTAGCATTCTCCTAATTGCATTCGATTGCATAACAGTCATTCCACACCGTTTGGTGTGGAATGACAGCTAGTTTCATAACTGAACCATTTTTCTCTTGAAGAGCAAGTCGACAGCTGGATCCACTGTGATTGCAGCTCGCTTGGGGTCAATGTTAAAATGTTTCGTGATACATGAACTGCAGTAACGTGGCATTTTAGATACTACAATTTTTATGCAGGGCTGGGCCCCACCTCATGTGTGTCGCACAGTTACTTAGGCAGCATTTCACAAATGAATGTCTTATAGGCTGACACTTCTCCTCTTCCCATCAGACCTACCTCAACCTCTGTGGCTTTTGGCTATGGGGTTATCTCAAAAGCACTGTTTATGGAAATAATCTAAACAATTTGGCAGAAATGGAAAATGTGATACACCGACATGTCCGTAACATTCCTCCTGATATGCTAAGAGCTGCTGTTGAGAATGCATGCAGTAACAGGATTTAACTTGCTATCGGAAAATGCTGGATGCTACACTGAACATGCTTTGTAACACATTTTGGAAATGATTAAACACATTTTAAACAGATGTTTTCATGTCTTATTTTATTTAACGGTATTGCATACAGCGCCATTTTTCCTCTGGTGGTGAGTTTTTTTAACACTTTTTTTTTTCCCTCGGAAAATAAAATTCCCATAACCTCCTTTACACGATTCCCAAGTCTGATAACATTTGGTCCAATAGTTTTTCTTTTATGACCATTTCAAAGAGGAACTTTAATTATAACCACCATGTAAATTAAACTTTAAAAGTTTGACAGTTTGGTTCAAATCCCACCTTTAAAAATATGTATATCAATATAAATTTTCATATTAATCCTCTTAGAAAGCTAATTTTTCTCTCACATTATAGGTTGTATAAAGAAACATGATCTTTAATATGATTTAGATAGTTTCAGCTGATATAAGAATCGGGTCACTCGGCGATACAGAATAAACACGGCGTGACTGTTTTATTTCTTTGTCATCTTTGCTTTAAACTTTATTTATAGTTAAAATGACTAGAAAATGAAAAGCTGTCTTCAGCTAAAATGCAATTCATGTAATTGATATTTTAAAAATTTGACAAGAATGCAAAATTTATGGAAGTCTAGCAAACAAAAAATCTTAATTTTCTTGTGTGAGCACTGAAAATAACTGTAGACGGAAAGAAGAAAATTAGAGAGAAAATTAAGCAAAAATTTGCAGACCAAGATGTTTCAAAACCAAGATGATACCAAGATGTTTAAAAAAGTTGGAGGCTTTTGAATATACTTTCAGGATACTTTAGGTGTTCAAAGAGAAAACACTTGGATGTGTACACCAGCAAATAACATCAATTGAGCTTGTGTTAACGAAAAGACAAAAACAATATCATTGCAGATTAAAGTGAAGAGCAACTGGTTTTAGACTATATGGTTGTAAAAATTTAAATTATAGAACATCATATCATATCATAAACGGAGAATGCCATGATTTCTCAGTCGAATTATTTGAAGATTCAGGAGTTTATCCAGTGATGTATGTGGATGTCACCTAAAGGCGTATTTTTTTCCTCCTGATGAAACAGCGGCCGAGCGGTAAAGCCGCTGAAGACTGGTAGTTCGGTACGAGGTTCAAATCCCTCAAACGGACTGGCTGCATGGGCGTTTTCGTGGGTTTCCCCATGTGTAACGTGTATACGAGGGCAGTTTTCCTTAGAAAGTCCTCCACGAAGGCATCCCTCCCCTTAGGCAGATAGCCCTAGTGTGCTTTGTCATAATTAAATAAACCAAAATCTCTTCATGAAACCAGTCTTTCCTTTCATCTCATACCTTCAAAATATTTAGCCTCTAAAGACTGATAAAGCCTCTGATCAAATACTGATGAAATGGATTGAAAAGGATTATTAAGTTGCAGCAAAGCAGGGCTATCTGCCTAAAAAGAAGGATGCCTTCGTGAAGAACTTTCTAAGGGAAACCAGCTAGCATACATGTTACACATGAGAAAGTCCTCGAAAACGCCCATGCAACCAGCCCGTTTACCGGGATTCGAATCCCGGAGTGAACTACCAGTGTTCAGCGACTTTACCGCTCGGCCACTTGTGTGCCTTTATAAAATGGAAGGCGATAACTTTATTTAAAATGATTGTTAGAAATACCAAAATATTTCGAAAAGTTGGATGCTTTTTAATATACTTGCAGAATGCCTAAAGAAAAAGAGCAAGAATGAAGCAGAATGCCTGAAGAAAAAGAGAAGAACAAATAAATTTTTGTGTAAAATTTAGTGTTTGTATTTTTTTTAAATTTGAAACTTTTTAATCTTATGATATTTGATTCTTGCGGTTTCAAAAATAAAATATTTGACTAAAATATGAATAACATTTTAAGAAACCAAATGTAGGATAAAATTGTGTAAAGCAATGGGCACAATGATAAAACTGTTTAAAGCAGTGTATGCAAGTCATCCTAAGTTAAAATGTCGGTTATACATCTCTCTTATTTATATATATCTTTTCTGAACGAAACATTGAAAGGCATGTTAACTGTGCTTTACTGTATTTTCTCTTTTAATATATGCAGTTTTCAAACGCATCGTAGTCTGGGTTACAAAGTATTCTTCTGAAAGAAATTCAATTCAAATAAATAAAATCAAATTCTGGAAAATTTATATTAATAAATATATTTAAAATGCTCTTTGAATGAATAAATGAATAGAAAATTTTAAAATAATTATCTGAAGAGACAATGCAACACTTAACCAATTAAAATAAAAGTCTAAAAATTTAAAAATGACCTAAAATAGTAACTATGGCCTAAAAATATAGTATAAAGAAAACTATTTGGAAAATAAATAAATAAATAAATAAATGATGCACCTTTGATTTAAACTAAACAGTTCGAATGAGTAAACAGAAAACTTTTAAAACAGTTATTCGAAAGAAACCATGGAACTTAAACAATTAAAATGAAATTCGAAAAAAAACAATTCTAAAATTAATAACAATCATAATGTAAAAATGTAAGCACTTTGTTAAACATTATTTGAAAGAAGGAATGATTGTGACATTTTTTTCGCTCATGCAAATAATGTAAAAAACGAAGTGCCTATTTTTCCCGCTCCTACACAATGGAAGGGAAAGTAAAATAGGTTTGCCACATGCATTAAGAAGTTCGCCAAGTGAACTTAATTCTTGGCGCAAACTGAAAAAAAGCGCCAACATAAATTGTTTGAATTTCTTCCTAAATTTCGTACTCAAATTTTACAAAATTTAATATTTAGGCATAATTTGAGTCTTAGAATCGAAATATGGGAAAAAATTGGTATGTTATTTCAAAAAAAGTCCGATTTTGTGTCAAAATACCTATGTGAGAATAGTGCTATGTATAAATCTAATATATATCCTAAGTCCCGCTTTCGAGACATGAAGAACGCAATTTGAATTTTGTTAATCGGCCCAGTAGAACGGGAGATATAGAACTGTCCCATTTTTTTTTGGAGCAGTGTACATCAGAAATCATATAATAATAATGTGCTGGCAAGTCATCTGATTCATGCAACAAAAGAAGTAGAGATGAACCTCCTCTTTTTCAGTCAGCATTGAAGCCTGAAAATATGGGAAAGGTAATTTGGTGTAACAGTAATACAGTGTAAGAAATATTTTGCTTCCATGGCCAAAAAAGGTAGAAGAGTTGGTCAACATACTGTAAAAAAATAGTCAGCATGTTTTAAAATGTCATAAAGCTTAATATTCTACTGATCATTTTTATTTTTAAAGCCATTTAAAATAAAGATGATTTTTTATAGTCATTAACCAATAGAAAAATGGAATTGTATATTTTTATATAGTACCTTTTGCCTTTTCAAAAAAACTTTTAGATACAAATATTGTAGGGTACCATCATTAATTTTCTACTTTTTTTATATACATTTTATTAACATTTAATTCATTTTTAGTTTTTAAATTAAAATAAAATAAAGCAGCCACCAGCATATGTAATGTAAGAAAGATTGAATGCATTAAAAGACATTTTTGTGTTCATGTTTCTATGAAAGTCTTGCTTCATATTTTCCATCACTACCTCTACACTAAATAATATGTGATATCCTTTTTTGAGATATTCAGAGAATTATATTTTTCCAGGGTAAAATTTGTTTTCCTTTGACTTGAAGTAAATTATGAGAATGAAATTCTGTTTGTGAGAAAAATAACTATGAAATTTTGTTGATGACTAAGTAAATTATGAAAACTATGAAATTCTGTTGGTGAGAAAAATAACATTAGGTTTTCTTGGATACTTGGCTTTCCAATAATATGATAGTAATTATTCTTTTCTATTTTTTCCTGAGCAAAACCTATTTACAAATTAGAATGAATATGTGTTTCTCACACCTAAAGAAGTTTTATTATAAACTTATAACATAATTGTGAACTTAATTATAGCAAAAGATTTTTTGACATTTTTTACAAGCATTTGATGCAAATGTTTTTTTCATAAGTATTCATTGTATGTCATTTAAATATGTATATTTTATACTGATTTTAATTTTTGCTTCCTGTCTTTTTTAATAATGAAGCTTCCAAAAACTCAGTCTTCATACAGGGAGGCTATAAAACTGTGTCTTACTGCTGTTCAAAATCTCCATTCATCATGTCCTGGATATCTTGGATTTTCAACAACTGTAATGCTTGCAAATCTCAAATTGCTTGAAGGTATTATCACGCTAAAATATTTTCTCGAATCAGATCGAACCTTTAGTAATGTCAATTCAGCATTATTTTTATGAGTGTATAAAATAAAAGAACAGTTGTTGCTGTTATTAGGTACATTATACTTTTGTATGTTTTGAAATGTTTTTTTAACTATCAAGGTAAACAACATTTTTGAATAGATTTGAAAACACGGGAAACTTATTGTATTAGTATTCTGATTTTATTTCTTTGTAACTAGGTTAAATTCTTTTCATTAATTAAATATCTGTCATTTTTGATGAGTTTGATTTAGAAATTGTTTATATTATAAATATCACTAGGATTGTAAGATTTACAAAATAGCTTAGTAATGTTTTGGATGAATCAAGTTCCCTTTGTTTATTAGAAATTAAAGAAATCATGATACCTATAAAAGTAAAATTTTGAAGATAAAAACATTAATTATGTTTTCCTAGTTTCATAATGTCTGAGTAATAATTTATGATTGCAATATTTATGTTTTGTTGTTACTAATCTCGCTTGTCTGAATCAGATAATGCCCATGAAATTCATCGTGACAAGACATAAGAATTGCATCTATCATTGGCAAGAATCTTGGGCACCATGCAGGTGACAGTACAAAATTGCTCTGTTCCACCCCCAATTTTGAAGGATAGAACCCTGGGGGACAGGTCCGAGGGTCTCACACCTCTCTTTCCGTACCACAACCTCTGAAGGGAACTTTCGGCTCGCCACATATTTAGAGTGCTCGCATTGTGCACAGACACTACACGTTTACAAACATCCATGCCTTTTGGCTTCAAACTCAGGTGTTTCAGTATGGCAGTCAGCATCGCTAACCACTATCCTAGTTGGGCAGCATGTAATGTTTATTGCTAAGATTTTGAACAAGTTCAAAATTGTAAAAGAAATTAAGTATTTAATGTAGAAATAATTTATACCACTTCATTTTTAGTCATTTAGAAAATTAAAAACAAGAAGGGAAACTAAAACTGATGCCTTAGTAAGTGCGAATTTAGCATTTTTTAAAGCATTTAAACACAGTGTTATGATATATATATGTAAAATATAAAAAATACGATGGCTTTGCTCTAGGCGAACAGGCAATCTCTAATTAACTTTCTGCAATTTCAGGATCTTCCCTCTAGACCAGTACTTTCGAGAACATTCTGGCATGTTATGTAACTGCTATTATAAATGAAAAGTTTGCGTCATATTTAGTCAGATTGCTTTTCTCCTCTTGCCGCTTAAGACCTTTGCTGCCGCTCTTCCTGTCTCTCTTTCTTTGTTTCAATAGTATGACCCAGTAAATTTAAAGTTAATCCTATTTAGTCTAAATTACTATCACATATGTAATCTTGGAGAACCTAAAAGAATAATGATTTGCCATTTGAATTGAATAAAGATGTGGAATCAAAACAGCTAACTTTAGTTTAGCTGTTTTGAGAAGCTTGGCATGAAAAATTTGTCATCATTTCATGCCAAGCTTCATGTGTGTGCCCAACTGCCAAAATATGACACACGCACACACACACACACACACATATATATATATATCATAGCCCGTGCTTGCTAAAATTTAAAAAAAGAAAGGTTTGTGTAAAATACAAAATCTAACTTTTTACACTGCCTTCCCTATACTTACATGTAGGAAAATTTTTTTCTGAGGTCTAAAAAAATATGTTATTAGTACTTTCTTGAAGTTTTATTACTTTAGAACCATAATCTGGTAATCATAAATAATTCATTGAAGAACAAATATTTTTTATTTTTAATTAATGCAAATATGAGTTGGCTATGATCCAATACTAAAGCCTGCCAATGTTTTTAGAACATGAGTTCTACAAGATTCTGTAAACAAGATCACCTTCTTGAAAACAAAAATTATATTGATAAATATTTTCCACAATAATCTGAATAAAAATAACATTATAAAACCCTTTTCTGAACATTATTTTATTGTTAGTTATGTTCAAATGCAAACATTTTGCTCTTCAATTTGTGTATGCACTGTCCAACTACTATAAATATTTTTCTACTTTCTTGCTGGTGGTGAGACACCACAGTACCTGGCTTGAAAAGCCTACCTCTTTGGAAAAGCGTCAGCTTTTAAACTTAGCCCCAAAGTAGCAGTGTCGATGTTGTGTGTAAATAGTCCAAACTAATTAAAAATAGCACACAGTCCTAAACTGATTATAAGGAAAGAAAGTAAGATTTGTAGATAGAAGAGACTGCAACACTGTCAAGCTGGTTAATAGAGTACATACAATCAAGGTATTACAATTAAAGACAAGTATGAGTCAATAGGGCATCATAATGAATTATAAAAAATTTAATCCTACTTAAACCACAAATGCTAAAATACAAATAAAAATACAGAAAATGATTAAATATCAAATGCAAACTAGAAACACCACAAGTAAAATACCTTGAATATACATCACAAAGTACTTAAATTAAATTACTAGTGTTCCCTTCACTAAATATTTCTTCAAAAATATTTAGCAACACAAAGATTTTGTTTATTGGAGTTCGGGCTCCCTTTATTTCCCTGTCTTCTTGAAATAATTTTAATGATGTCAATGATGGAATATTCTGTAAAATTTCTTAATTTCAGCAAGCACCTTAATTTTAGCAAACACCTTAAATATGTAAGCAAGGGTAGCAGCAATGCTGTTCGAGCTGTTTTCATTTTTCCTTCTTTGATGTTTTTTCCTTCTTTGTTTTTTCCTTCTTTGATGTATGAACTTTAGGTATAATTTGCTAGAACTTCTTCCACAACATTCTTTACCTGTTTTACCACAGTGTCACGACATGGTCCTGAGTTATGAGGTTTACTGGAAAGTTTTTTCCCTGATGTTGAAAGGTTTTTGGGGATTTCTAAATGTTGGCTGCATGTTCGCTTCCACAGTTGCAATTAATGAGCCTTTGAATCCATTTAACCTGGCAGACAGAACTTTTGTTCAGCAGTGCACATTTTATGCACCTTGGAGCAAGTTTGCACCCATCCATAGAATGGTTCATAGAGTTCTACTGGTACAATAAAATACATTAATTTTACATCATAATTTTTTCAGAACCTAGCTCATTTACTGCATTTGAAACAGTGGCATAAGAACTCAGGCCCTAAATTTAATTATTTGTGCAACCTTTAGCATGTTAAATCCTTCCTTGAGAAGTTCCTTTTTGATCTCATCAACTAAATAATCAGAGTGGGCAACCCCTTGATACCTACTTTCAAGGGATTAAATTTCTTCTGGTACACTACGTAATGCTGAACATTATTTTGAGTTAAGTAAGAAGTTATGTTCTAATGATTGTCAATGCTGACGGGGTTAACTTTAAGAAACTCTCCAGAGATGCGTGTGGTAAATTGAAAGGAGGTATCAGATGACAATGTGTTGAAAAAGTCACTGAATTTTATTAGGGGAATAACCATAATCGATTTCATTCTGATAATTGGGGCTCTGCACTTTGTGGGGCTAAAATCTTCTCTGACTTTTTATTATCAATATTTATACTAACATTGTCAGTATCACAAATAACCGTGTCATTACATATAGTAGTAACATTGTTGGAATGACTAAGTACATTAAATTAATTACTAACGTCCAGGTCAAGAAAATTTTTGCTTAATTTGATGGGACATGCAGTATTCCTCGGGAAGGGAAAATTATCCTGGGTACGTTTTTAATAATCAAATTATTTTTCTTTTCAATAGAACCACTTCCAAACATCGTTTGCATGCCCACATCTGCATTTTTAGTAATAAGAACATCTGCATTTTTAGTACCATTGTCTGAAGTCTTAGAAACCTTATTTAAACTAGGGAGGAGGACTTCATTACTGGGGCCAGCAACATTTTCAGCATTTACATGAGCAGCGGATAAACCAACACATTCTGAAACATCAAAATCAATGCGATTAGCTAAATCAAACTTGTTATGAACCTTAAAAAACTCACACTTTCCTCTTATATTTTGAATTTGCGAGTCCATAATTTCCATAATGTGTGTTCATATCATATCCGGATGTAGGTCTTATTCTTGGCTGCATTATCCTTAAAATTTTGGTCCATGGCAAGCATTAAGTTGTCTTCTAATCCAAGCGAATTTTGAAGAAAATCCACTGCATTGATGAAGTCTATTTTATTGTACACATTTTTTCATAAGTAAAACCTTTAACAGATCAGCCTTATTCGTTTCTGTAAGTGGCATCCTTGTAGAATCAAAGGCTATATCTGAATTGTCCGATTCCCATTCAGATATACATTCACAGTCTGAATCGCTAACCACGTCTTTAATAATGAATTCAAAAATCCATGTAATTCAAGAGCACAAGGACTCCCTCAGTGCATTGACTGACTTTAATACAAATTAAATAAATAAAATAAAATAATAATGAATAAATACAAAGTCAAAAAGTTCAAAACCTAATCCACTTGTATACTGAAAGAAGCAACAAGTGATGGTGGATGTGTGCATGTATATGTGTAATAAGACTGCAGTTCGATGATATACGAATGATTTGATTATGAAATGTGGCACAAACTTGCATTAAAATTTTTGGTGAAATGGGACTTCTCCCATGATTCACTCTGAACACAGAATGACAGAGCCTTGCAGATTTCTTCATAATTAGAACTGGCCGAATAAATTTTTCCATTGGAGTCTTGAAACACAGGTATACGTCCTGATCGACTTTGTTTACAATTTTTTGTTTACAATACTTTTGTTTTACAATTATTTAACTGTAATAAATTACTGCGTAGTCATGATGACTGAGTGGAAAAGGAGGAAGAAGACATTGACAAAACTAAGTAAATCACTATCTTTATTTTTAGGCATATCAAAATCACTTCTTTATAGGCAATATACTTTTTGATCATAAGCAAAAAGCATAGCAGCATATAGATGATTGCTATCCTGCCAGAATGAAAGCGTAAGCGAAAAGTGTCGCAGCACTTCAGAGTCAAAAGTTTCAGTTTGGGTTAAAAAAAG